AAGCTGGAGTGGTTTATGAGCAACTGTTTCCCCATTTCCAAACCTTCACTACTCTTAACAAGTCCTCCTCTACCCCACTCTTTCTTAGAAAACGGCCTGACCATATCCTTTACCAAGATGACTGAGGCAGTGAGAACGAACTCCCTTAATTTGCTGTCCCTACACCACTTCTTTTATGTGTGCCTGCATTTAGTCCCATCTACTTTCCTCCAAGCTATCCCTACCCCTAGGTCCTAGATGTCTGTCCCTCATGTCTGTTCCAGAATCTGGTGCTTGTTTCAACACTGGTCCCCATTGATCTCATAGTTTCCAACTCCCCCTTTGTGGTGTTTAACCCTTAAATGTATAAACAGGTTCAAGTATCTTCCTTGTTTAGAACAGAACAACAGCCTCCTCAACCCTCAGACACCTTCAAGTTATCACTGTACCTTTTGTCTTTTCTTTACATACAAGCTCCATATAGAAAAGACTGTATTTGCAATCTCTACTTCCTTATCATTTGGTCCTTCTTTAGACTAAAGTCATCAGACTTCAGATCTCAGTTCTCCACTGATATCTTATTGGAAAAACTGAGCCCTCACTTCAGAGACAGGACTTGTGTTTTTCAAGAGGTCTTGAATCATAGTGTACTCCTGGCTCCACACCACCACCAGCCAACAGAGAGAGTAGCCATCCCAGGCCCCACCTAAGCTTCCCTAGTTCCATGAGCTGTCTAATAGCTCTGTCCCCCTGAGGAGGCCCCTGTCTCCTCCAGGCCAGCACCCTACCTGGCTACAACATTGAATATGCTCCAGGCAAAATACTTTGGACTGAACTTTGCGTTTTCACCTTTCTCTATGCCATTTCCAGGACTAATGTGAACATGACCCCTATCCATTCACCTTGGTCACCATCAGATGTCCAAGCTTCCCAAATCATCCATTTTCATATATCCACTCATCCCCATACTGTTCAGTACATATTTTAATTTGACTCCATTTACTGTCCCTTCCTGACTGTCCAAATCTTACGCTTAATGTGCCCTCTGGACTCAAGATCTGTCACCAGAAAAACTCCTACATGATGTTTCTGTTATTCTTCTTTTTCTAATAGAAACTGAGTTGTCCCCTCAGGGCTCTATTTCCCTTGCAGTTCTCCATTGCATTATCCAATACGGTAGCCACTAGCCAAGTGTGGCTACTGAGTCCTTGAAATGTGGCTAGAGCTACACGTGTTGAAATGATAATATTTTTAATATATTTGGCTAAATAAAACATATTGTTAAAATTTTAAAATTATTATCTCTCCCTATAGGGTTGCTATGATTTGGAATTGACTCGATGGCAATGGGTTTCTTTGGGTGTTTGCAGAGGTCAGTTAGCTCAGCTCTCTTATTATGGGATCAAGTGGAAACTGAGGCCTGCAGAAGGAAAGGAACTTGCCCTGGATCACCCTGATAATTAGTGGCTGCACCAGGATTGGAACCCAGATCTCCCAACTCCCAGACCAGGATTCTCTCCACCACCTCACACTGTCCCTGTTCACCACCTCTTCCCTTGCAGAGGTGTAAGGAGAAAGTAAGTAAGTAAGAGCTATTTTTCTTCCCACAGCTCAAGGTTTGTGGATGGGGTAGATGTCCAACTTGTTCTCCATAGCAGCTTTCAAATTGTTTCTTCCTCCTTTCCTTTAAAAAACACAGCTCCTTAGAAGAGCACGTCGTCTGGCTGCTCATTACACCCTCTGTTTATGTCACCTTACGCCTTCCAGTAACTCCTCACTCATTCAAGATTTTAACACCTGGATTATTATTTTCTTTTCCATCCCATTTCTGTCCTAATACTTGGTAACTTCTACATATTGGTGTAACCCAGATTTCCACTATGGCCTCTTGTCACTTTACACGAGCACTTTTGAAAATGCCATCTTCTCCCAGACTTCATTGACTACTGATGGGTTGATGACTTCCATATCTATTTCCAGCCTAAACATCTCTTCTGAGCTCCAGACCCACATACTCAACTGGATGTCTCCACATGGATATTTCATGGAAACTTAACTAATCTAAGTCTGGAAATCCTGGTGGCATAGTGGTTAAGAGCTATGGCTGCTAACCAAAAAGTCAGCAGTTTGAATCCAGCAGGTGCTCCTTGGAAACCTTATGGGACAGTTCTACTCTGTCCTATAGGGTCACTATGAGTTGGAATTGACTTGAAGGCAACAGGGTAATCTAAGTCTGAACTCATCATCTTTCCCACAAACCTGATTCTTCTTTTCTCAAAATCTTGTATATAGAATCAATATCTACCTGTTCATCCAAGCAAGAATTCTGGGAGTCATCCAGATTCTTCTGTACCTCTCAGAGGCCACATCCCATCAGTCACCACCTCCCTTAGCTGCGTCTGTTTTCCTTGAGTCCAGAGTTTCTCTGATTCAATCCTTCCAGAGAGTAAAAGTAGTAGTTAAGAGGGCAAGTCCTAAAGGAAGCATGCCGAGGTTCAAATCATAGTTCCCAGTTTATGCTGTGTTGCCAAGTTACTTAAGCTTTCTGTGCCTTAGTTTTCTTATCTGTAAAATGGGGCTTTAATAATAGTGCTTACCTTGTAAATTTGTTGGTGGGATCAATTGAGTTATAATATGTAAGATGCCTGGCATACAGCATTGTTGTTACGTGTCATTGAGATGATTCTGACTCATAGTGGCCTCATGTTGACCCTGTGACAGAGTAGAAATGTCTCCTAAGATTTTCTTGGCTATAATCTTTATGGAAGCAGATCACCAAGTCTTTCTCCCACAGAGTGATGGGGTGGGTTCGAATATCAACCTTTCATTTAGCAGCTGAGCACTTAACCATTTATGCCACAAGGACCCCTTTTGGCACATAGTAAGTACTCAATAATTTTTAGTGATGCCCATGATGTCGATGATGATGATGCCTGAGTAATGCCAGTAGGAGCAACCCGGATGCGTGAATTGATGAAAGAGATTTGGAGGATATCAACTGCTTCTTAACCAGAATTTCAACCAATCCTTTTTTGGCCTCACTCTACAGTCCTGACTTTAAAGAGACCCAGTGCCTCCAATTATAGGTAGTCCCTGACTTACGACGGGGTTCCATTCCAACAACTCCGTTGTAAGTCAGTTCCGATGTAAGTGGAATACCTCATTTAAAATTTTTTTTCATTATTATTGCTCTTTATTATCAATTTCTTTATAAATCTGATCTTTATTTGTCTTTGGGGGTTGACATGAGAATGATAACATCAGCAAATTACACACTGCAATATTGTATGCAGTACACATTAACGATAAGATGTATAAAAAAAAGAAAACGGATGGTTGTAAGTGTGGTTCGTTGTAACTTGAATATGTTGTAAATTGGGGACTACTTGTAGTTTGTTTCTTATAGGCTTTTCCTACGTAGGCACTTTGCTTTCTATGCTCCACATCTGCACTGTCCAATACAGTAGCCACTAGCCAAATATGGCCATTGAACCCTTGAAATGTGACTAGGGCTGCACATGTTGAAATGGTAATATTTTGGATATATTGGGGTAAATAAAATATATTATTAAAATTAATATCACCTGTTTCTTTTTACTTCCTGAAAAAGAATACTAAAATTCTTAAATTACATACGTGGCTGGTGTTACATTGTTGCTATGCATCTTACAAAATTTTGACATTTCTTGTCTGTTGTCATGTTTCTCCTATTCTCTTTAGTCTTGTGGTTTATACAGTTTAACTCTGTTTTTCTATTTTCATGATGTGTCAGGAGAAAGCAAAGATAAATTCTTGTGTCCCATCTGTCATAGCTTTTCACAATCTAGCCCTTGCTTCTCTTTGTAGTCTCATAACTTTGTGTCCTGTCACCAACCATATGGCCCAGCCACAGTGAATTACTGCTGGTTTTCTGAACACACCAGGAAGCTTCAAGTTTTCATGCCTTTGCTTTCTTTGTTTCCTTTTTCTTGAATACATTTTAACGCCTCACACCTGTCTGCCTAGTAAGTTACTCATTCTTCAAAAACTAACTCAAATTTCACCTCCTGAAAGGAGCTTTTTTTCTGACTCCTCCGTCCAGTTGAGCTAACACTCCAGAGTCCAGAATATTTCCTGCATTTTCTTGCTTGGATACTTCTCTACCCTATAAGGGAACCCATCTGATTCATCAGACCCTCTAGTGTCAAGTTCAGGATCTGACACATAGCAAAAACTAAAAGATGTTTGTCAAATGAATGAATAAAGTCAGTAACAAAGAACTGTGGGGATGCAGAGGAAGGAGAGGCTGACTGAAAAAGTTTCATGCGGGTAGTATTTTTACGCTATTCTTCAGAGACGTTTTTGACAGGTGGAGACAGTGTCAAGAATTTTCCAGGAAGAGGTAACAGGAAGAGCTAAGTTTCTCTGTAAGCAAGGAATATGCTAGCGAAATAGCAAAGGATCCAGTTTGGATGGAGCATTTGTTAGACCAGATTATGCAGGGCCTTGAGGTCATGAAAAGGAGTTTGACCCTTGTTCTGAGGATAATGGAGAGTTACTGACAGGTTTTAAGCAGAGGAGAGAGAGAATTCTGCCGGAGTTTTAGAATTATCACCTCTGAATGCAGATGGAGAATGTATGTGAGAGGCAAGAGTGGAAGCTGGAAGACCAGTGAGTTCATTGCGGCAATCAGGAAATTGATGGTGGTGGTCTACGGGTGGGTCTAGGAGTAGGTGGTGATGCGATGGTTGTTAAGTGAGGATGGAGAGAAGGCGACGACTTCCAGATGCTGGTGGTAGACTGCACAGGACAGATGGAGAGGCAGAGTGAGGGAGGAGGAGTTTCTAGTTTGTGCAAATTGGAGGGCGAGGGTACCATTTTTTGCAACAGGTAACCCCGACGGAGGAACAGGGCAAATCCTGACGCAAGCTCAAGGGCGGACGCCTAGCTCACCTTGTCCCTCGCGCGGCGCCGTCGCGCACCCCCGCGGTTTGGTCGGGGGCAGCCGCCGGCGCTGAGGTTCTAGTTCCGCTTCCGGCTGGAGTCTATCACCTACGGCGACGGCGAGCGGCCATGGCGTACTCCACGGTGCAGAGGGTGGCCCTGGCCTCGGGACTCGTCCTGGCTCTGTCGCTGCTGCTGCCCAAGGCTTTCATGTCTCGCGGAAAGCGGCAGGAGCCGCCGCCGGCGCCCGAAGGTAAGAGCCGGCGACCCGGCCGGGGCCACCGCAGGGTGGGATCAGCGTCTTGTGAGCTGCCCGGCGGGGGCTCCCAGGACTGGGCATCTAACCCCGGCAGCGAGAACGAAGGACGCTACTGAGGGAGGGGAACTCTGGGGTCTCCGGTCCCCACCTAGATATCCGCCAAACGGGCGAGAGAGGGCGGACGGGACGTTTGGGTGGTGCCAAGGCCCACAGGTTCCCTGGGCATCAGTGGGCAGCAGCCCAGCTCCACCGGGCACCGGGTCGCTCCTGGGGTTCTGCCGCTGGGAAGGATCAGGAATCCTGACCTGCATGTCTGGGCACCCTTGCACAGACCCGTTTGAGTTTTGCTCGCAGTCCCTTCTCCCTTCTCTGGTTTAACTCATCTTGTTCAGCATCTGTGGAAGTCCTTTGAGTCAGGAAGGCTCCCAGTTGGGTTCCGCTCTTAGGATTTCCGTGTGCTTTCTGTCGTGCGTTTGTATGAAATAAAATCAGTTTAATTGGTATTGTTAACTTGAATCCGTTGTGTACTGTCAGCTTGATGTAGGGCCCTCACTGCTTCAGGCTCTTTTTGTAGCTTTTAAATATAACTTGAAGATTTTAAATATTCGAATTTTTATTACTGAGGTGGAGATGAACAAATTGTTGTGTTCCCCCTTACTTAAACAATATCTCTTTGTTAATCCTTTATTTTTGGCATGATGTATGTGGTATTTAAAATTCCACCCTGTCACTGCATGGGGGGTGGGGGAGGGAGTTACAGAAAGAGTGAATCTAAAGCCATGCGTGTCAAAGGCTGGGAGAAGGAACTAGAACAATTCTCTAGAGATCATGAAGTTCTGTTGGTAACTTTCTTCTGTAAAATTCCCTCTGTAGTATCCTTGAGACATGGTTTTACAGTCTCTGAAACCTTCTACTGATGTTCAGCCTGTTGATTGTTGGACAGCTCCTTTTGAGCTTCCTCTTCTCTCTAACTTTTGCATACTGGCTGTAGTTTCACCCTCTTTTGCATTATAGATTATAAATACCATAAATGCAGAGTACTAAACTCTAGGGGTGGAGGGAAGATTGAACACAAAATTTGCGTATAATCTTTAAGCTTGTAAAACAATCAACCTGGAAGAGACTTCTAAAAAAATGTTTGCATGTTTGGTCTTTTTTTTTTTTTTTTTCTGTCTTATTACAAAATCCAAAAGTCTTTACTCACTTTGTCTAATGATATTGTCCGCCTTGAAGAAGAGTAAATTAATGATGACCCTAAGCAGTGAAGATTCTTCTAAAAGATTTTTACGGAGTTGAATTCCCATTATGCTGAATTCTCCTGAACAAGTACTATTGAATGTGAGTGGGAAACACTCTTCTGGAGGTTGTAGAGAGTACAGAGTGGAGATTCGACATGGCTCTTTCCTTTGAAAACTGAAGTGCCTGTATTCAATGTTCTCAAAACAAGCACAATTCCTTTCCCACATAACAGTCTTTATGATTGTCTTTTAACAAATATTTATGATGTACCCTTTTACAAAGTGTAGAGAAACTGTGGATTCCAAGAAAAAGAGCCAAATTCCTGCCTTGAGAAACCCACAGTATAGTTGAGAAAAAAAGACATATCAATGAATAAGTGTTAGTTGCAGGTACTCAGATCCACACAGGGAACCAGGAGACGCATGGGTAGTATGGTCAGTTTTATTGGGGGCTTCAAGAAAGGTCTCACAGAGAAGGTACCTCCTTTTTTTGTAACAGCTTTATTGACATATAATTTGCATACTATACAATTTACCTATTTAAAGTTTACAAGTCAGTGGTTTTTAGCATATTCATGGATTTTTGCAATCATCACCACAGTCAATTTTAGAACAGTTTCACCATCCAGAAAAGAAACACTGTACTCATTAGCCATCACTCACCAACCACACCCTCCACCCCTAGGCAACTACTAATCTGTTTTCTGTCTCTATAGATTTGCCTGTTTTTAACATTTCATGTAAATGAAGTCATACAATATATGGTCTTTTCTGACTAGCTTCTTTAACTTAACATAATGTTTTCAAGGTTCATCCATGTTGTAACATGTATCAATACTCCATTCCTTTTTATGGCTGAATATTATTCCGTTGTTTGGTTATACCATATTTCATTTATCCATTTATCAGTTGATGGACATTTGGTTTATTTATACCTTTTAACTATTGACATTTATGTACAAGTTTTTGTGTGAACATATGTTTTCATTTCTCTTGGGTTTGGAAAACGTGAACATTTTAGTGTGGCAGGAACTAAGAGTGGAATTTCTGGGTAATATGTTAATGGTAACTCTGTATTTAACCTTTTGAGAAACTGTCAGACTGTTTTCCAAAGTGGCTGCACCATTTTGCATTCCCATCAGCAGTGTATGAAGGTTCCATTTTCTCCACATTTGCACCAACACTTGTTCTTAAAGAGCTCAGGCTGATAACTGAAAGGTGGCAGTTCAAATCTACCGGCTGCTCCTTGGAAAGTCTATGGGGGGCAGTTCTACTCTGTCGTATAGGGTGACTGTGAGTCGAAATTGACTCGACAGCAACCGATTTGTGTGGGGGCGGGTATCATTACAGCTGTATTTGCATTTCCCTGGGGCGGGTATCATTACAGCTGTATTTGCATTTCCCTGCTGACTAATAACGTTGAGTATCTTTTCTTGTGCTAATTGGCCATGTGTATATCTTCTTTGGAGAAAAGTCTTCATATTCTTTGCCCATTTTTTAATAGGGTTATTTGTCTTTCATTACTGAGTTATAAGAGTTCTATACCTCTCTTAATACCAGGGAGTTGCTTTAATTTTTGGTATTTTACTTCCTGACCTTACAGTATATTAGAAATCCTAAGCTTTTTATATAGGAGCTGCTCATCTAGGTTTTGTCCATTTTGCACTGTTTGGAAACCAAATATATCCCTTTTGCATTTTGTCCTTTTGAATTGGCCTAAAATTCCAGCCTCTTGAAAATTTTTCAGAACATTCATTGTTCCATTCATTTTTTTTTTTTTACCATCTTTCTCAACTATTATATTCATTCTTGATTTAAAAAAAAAAAAACACAACATTTTATTATGGACATTTTCAAACATAATAAAGAATAGAGAAGTAGTAAAATGAATCTACATCACCTTGCTTTAGCAACTATCAATACATGGTCAACTTTGTGTCGCAGATATCCCCACCTACTTTTTCCTCCATATACTGGATTATTTTGAAGCAAATCCCAGACATTATATCATTTCATTCTTAGATAGTATGCATCCAAAAAAAAAATAAGGATTTTTTCTTAGAGCATAATCATAATACCATTATCATGCTTAAAAATCAATAATTCCTTAATGTCATTAAATATCCAGTCAGTGTTCAAATTTCTCCCATTGCCTCATAATTTTTTTTCACAGTTTCACTCATTCATTGAGACCTTGTATGTAGAGTCATTCAGCCAGCTGCCATTTTAATGCTCTGCGCTGTCTCATTCTGTCACCGTGGTCTGCCTGCTTCTTCCCTTACCCCCTTCAGTCTATTCTCAACATAGCAGCCACAGTAATCCTGTTAGAGCATAAGTCATATCATGTCTCTCTTCTCAAAACCCTACAGTGGCTTCCTGGCTCGCTCAGATGAAAGGCCAAAGTCTGTACATGATCTAAAAGGCCCTACCTCTCCCCATTTCCTTCTGCTGTTCCCTCTTTCTCACTTTGCTTTGGCTCCACTGGCCTCCTCCTTGCTGTTCTTTGAACATGCCAGGCTTGCCTCCATCTTAGGGCCTTTGCATTTGCTGTTTCCTCTGACTGCAGTGCTCTTCCCTTGGTTATCTATGTGCCTTATTCCTTCATCTTCTTCAGGTTTTCTTCACTCAAATGATATCTCCTGATGCTTTATCTGGCCACTCCAGCTAAAATCTTAACTTCCCCAGACATGTCTGTCTTAGTTTCCTAGAGTGGAATTGCTGAGTCATATAGTAATTCTATGTTTAACTTTTTGAGGAACTACCAAACTGTTTTCCATAGTGGTTGCACTATTTTACATTCCCACCAGCGATGCACCAGGATTCCAGGTCTCAGCATCCTTGTCAACACTTGTTAGTTTATTTTTCTGATAGTAGCCATCCTAATGGGTATGAGGTGGTATCTCATCTCATTGTAGTTTTGATTTGCACAGTGATTAAGTGCACTACTGCTAACTGAAAAGTCAGCAGTTCGAACCCATCAACCGCTCTGTGGGAGGACGATATGACAGTCTGCTTCCATAAAGATTACAGCCTTGGAAACTCTATGGAGCAGTTCTACTTTGTCCTGTAGGGTTGCTGTGAGTTGGAATTGACTCATTGGCAATGGGTTTGAATGACCAATGACCTTGATCATCTTTTCATGTGCTTACTGGCCATTTGTATATCTTCTTTGGAGAAATGTCTATTCAAGTCCTTTGCCCATTTTTAATTGTCTTTTTGTTATTGAGTTATTTAATCTATAATCCTTGTGACAACCCTGAAAAGTAGACATTATTATACCCATTTTGCGTATGAAGAAAATTAGCTGTAGCAAGGATAATTTAACCTCCACTTAAATAGTTGGAGGCATAGCCAAAATCTTAACTAATAACTGGCTTAAAAGATGTTATTCATTATACTTCACTTTGCTTCCTCCTGTGTAACACAGCTTCTTGTCATCATTGCGAACCATTGAAAGCTTTTGACCAGATCAATGACAAAAACTATTTAGAGTTACACCTTAGGAAGATTACTCTGTTAACAAAACAATAATAGTTAACATGTATTGAGCTTATGGTCCAGGCCCTGTGCTAAGCAACTTAGACACACAGTTATCTCTTTTAGTAATATATAGGATGAATTGGGAGTGGAGAGGTTGATAAAAGATAAACTAGCAGAAAACATCAAAGCAGTGAACAACAAATTGGTGTTAGGTAGGAGGGGAATGTCAGAAGATGGGGCTCTTGGAGGAGCTTGGTGAGGAAGAAGCAGGAAGAG